AATAAGTGTTCCATGCTAATGTTAATCTCGAATTGTAACCTTATTGTTAAATATACTCTTTGTATTCATGCTAATTATTATATAGATACACATCATACAGTACCATTAAAGTATCTGAGGAAGGCGATTGTTCACCGAAACATGTCATAATTGAAGGCTGTTGTTTTATGAATATGTGAAGTCTTCAACACACAGTTACGCCAAGAAACTTTATTATAAGGAAAACTAGTTGGAATTTCTACAACAAGTATTGTTATGATAGTTCAATATTAGCACGTGGTATCAAAACAGTGTTCCACTCTGTTTTGGTGTTCATAGATCTTCTTCCTCATTCTCTTCTTATCCTAAACTATCATAACAATACTTGTTGTAATCTTACATTTAGTCATGGCTGTCTAATTAGCGCGCGCGATTAGTTTAAAAATCGTAGAAATTCCAACGTACAAATTGTAAACATAAGGAATTGAGAAGGTCTATTGATCAGACGAAACTAGTTTTCCTTATAATAAAGTTTCTTGGCGTAACTGTGAGTTGAAGACTTCACATATTGGGTTTACTGCTATCTCACACTATGAGATTACAATCAGTATATGACGTATTTACTTCCATCAAAGCCTCGCGAAGTGCCCTCTCGCCTTCCAAAACGAGTTGTCTTGCTTTTGCGACAGCTTCAGTCGACTTGTCGTGACTTGTCGTGACATGTCGTGACTTGTCTGATGAACCAAAAATATATCGGTACAAACCAGCACTTATAATGAATAGCACTGGAAAGAGCGCGATTTGTCGGTTTGACAATTGCCGTAAGCCTTCAATTCCAACGAGCGCGATGGACGAGCCCGTAAACCAACTTATTACTTTGCTGCTCTCGGCTTCTCCTGTCAATTTCAGTATTTCTTCTTTCATGTCATTTCGGAGTTTTTCGTATAAGTCGATTGCAACTTTCAGTTTTAGTTTGATGTTATCCTCTTTGGTGCTCAGAAGTATTTGAGTTGCGCCTTCCCCATCTTCGTTGATAGCGTGTAGAAGTCGAAGAATTTCGAGGACTTCTTGTCTGATTGTTGTGAGTTGTTGGAACATTCCCTCTTTACTGATTTTGCTTACTTCCGTGCTTCTGTCGTATGATCGCATAACTAGGGTTGCTAAAATGGAGATCAGTGTCTTCCCAGATTCGTGACGCTTTTTCAAAGTTTCGAGTATTTCTGAAACATCGGGTACATCATCAATGGCATGCAAATCTGTATCCCGTTGAAAATGAGACGTTTGAGTTCTGCCGGAATAGGTCATAACAAGTTTTACAACTTTCTCCTTGTTTGGTAACTTAGAAATTTTTGTTCTTGTCGCAAACTTAGGAAACGCTGCCAGCTGTTGTTCAGTCAAACAAAAAGAAGGGGGGTTACGCCCTTATTATTTGGCAAATTAATAAATGTATATTTCAAGGTTCTCATAATACCTACCCCCCAAGATCTTACTCTCTCTACCCCCTTTGAATCTAAATATGCTATCATGGAACATTTCTGATCCTGATCTTATTGACTTATACCACTGTTATCAATTTTGCTAGACCTTTGTTTTTCAAAAAAGCTATACTGTTTTTCAGTTGCCTTTATCTTTCTTTCAAACATCTCTTGAATTAGATACTTACATAGTACAATAATGTTTTGCATGTCGCTGCTGGAGATTMATCATGCTTAATTAAAATTGAGTAGGATTTGTTTTCAGTCCACTTCGCCTTCACTCTGAAGTTTACATAGTACAAAGGAATTCAGTAATGGAAAGTCAGTTTGCCCGCTCGAGAATTGATTAGTAMTATATTCTTTTCATAAATCGTAGTGACAACTACACGTGGATAATTTCATAGGAGTTAGGAATTAATTTTCATGAATCAGAACGCAATTGGCATGTATACACAAACAATAGGACACCAAACTTAAATCAAAAGCATTGAAATACTTTTTATCACATGGTTATCGGCGGAGAAAAGAATTTTAAAAAACTTTGCAGTGACCTCCACCTGCGCTCGTGATTTTGAACATTCCATGACGTTAATAGCGTATCAATTCCGCCCGCAATTTGTTTTAAGTACAGGGTACATGAATTTGTCATCAAACTGCAGAATTTGCTAGAATTATCCTAAATCACGCATGGTGGCGAAGAGTTTATTGCCTTCAATTTAAGCTAGCACAAACAAAGAAAAACATTTTAGTAAAACAAACTGCCTATTCATCTTACTACTCAAACTGAGATGAGGTTTGATTTCATTCACGGATCTAATGAGAAATATTTTAGTTGAATTGCGTTCAATTACATGTAAAAGGCGATACATCTTATGTCGGTTCATGAAACTATGAGACACTTGCAGAGAACATGAAAGAGGACTTGGTGACAATTGTTTTTCTTTTCTTTTCTTTTTGACATTGTCTTTCATTTCGCTTTGTTAACAATTCATCTTTGCCGAAGTCGTTGGTGGTTTCTTTTCTTTGAATTAACTTTAGCACACGTCCGCACACCATGAAATCAGAGAAACAGATTTCAAATCCCAAGCTTAATGGTATTGCAACTGAATTGTAGTAGACYAATGTCCTCTGACCCAGATTGTTGTTTAAAATTTGGCATTCTAGTTCCTTTAACATTACAATTGATTTTAGAGGCTGCATTAACTAGAACCAAAACAAAAACTGAGGAGAAACATACTCCCCGCAAATAAAAGTCACTGAATACATTCACAGCATGCTAAGAAGAAGCTGAAAGGCGTACAACGTCCTTATATGATTTTACATCTAAATATACAGGGTACACGTACGAGAAGCCTCTGATCGATGTACCGACATAGAAAGTCTTTATAKAAATACTCCAAAAATTCAGRTTCACTCAAGCGAGCAGATGCTTTTGATAAATTGCCATATTTAGGAAAATACAGCTTTAGACAATGCATAGAGCTTGGTTCGAATCTTCATGCTTTGTCATAAATAGTTATTTTAAGTTTAAGTTTAGTAAGTCTTTGAAAAAATTCCGACTGATTSTTCTCCACGTTCTTGRGAGCCTCCTACATGTATGTGTACCGCAKTGCCATGTACAACCATGTATGGAAGTCATACGACGGATCCTTCTAGAGGTAGAAGGGACAAAACCATGAAAAACAGAAACTTCAATCCTTTGGTGCATGAATACTGAGCTTTCTGCCWGAGTTGATACATAAAAAAATATATTGAGAAGAAAAGTAGCCGATGAAAATTCCAATTACAGTAAGCAACGTACATCAGTCCCAAGGATATCAAAGAAATTTATTTAAACATCAAGAAAAAAAAATTAATATGCGGTGGGAATGTTGTTTTCTATTTCGGGGGATAAATGGTTACACGCTAGCTCGTATTTTTTAAAGTGCATGACTTTTGCGAAATTTTTAAATAAGCACGATGGTTGTTCGAAGCTTGCGTCAACTGATACTTATTACAGGGTCTGAATGGGGGGGTCCCGATATCAGTTAACAGCTAAATTTTGGCAATTTTCTCAGTTATCAGTGAAATTTCTCGGTTCTCAGTTAAGCCACATGTTAATTATTATTTTTGTGTAATAATTAACGACTAAATATTCAGTTATTAAGAAAATTACGTTTTACAAGTGTTCTTTCAGGCTAAGAAAATTCCCCAAATTGTTCTTCAGCTTTAATACTGAGTTTTCAACACTGCAGTTAATATTGGAACTCCGATAACTCTCAAAGTGTACCTCCTCCCCTTTTCTATGGTAGTAAACTAATACTTTCACCATTCATAACGATGATAGTTGGCTTTGATCAAGTCAACTTTTAAATGCATCAGCAGTTATATCTATGCCGTGACATAAAGTTGATATCACAGGTGATAGCCAGACAGGGATCACGGAGCGGTTGATTATGTGGGGGGCTGATGAGCACCGAAGGCGCGAGTTTTTAGGGGGGTACGGGGGCATTCCCCCCGGAAAATTTTGGAATTTTAATCCACGCAAATGCGATTTTCAGAATTTTGAGAGCATCGAGAAGAAATGTGATGCATTAATTTTATGGAAATTTTGCGTAACTTAACAATGAAAAAGGCATTTCTGATCGTGATAATTCAAAGTCAATAATAGATCTATTTAGTGGCGTGAGATTGCTGAATCGTTGCTGTGTCATATTTGATCTTAGCCGGGTTTTCACGGACGTCGTAATGCTAAAAATGATCGTTCGCAAGAAGTGTGGTAGCACATCAGGAGATCCCGACGGAGCCGCTCTACACAAAGCGATGGAATCGTCATCGGGGTCGTGTCATTTTTGGCGCCTGCATTCAGCGGCATTCCAAACTAAACACCCACTGAGAGTCGGTGTCGCGTGACTGGCCGATGCCAGGGCTATCTCTGTCCGCCAGTTTTGAATCGCCCCATGTAAGAGAATCCAGAGAACCAGAGGATTCCGGATTCCAAGCGCTGGATTCCGGATTCCGAAACATTAGATTCCGGATTCCAAAGAATTTTTGTTTTGGATTCTGTATAATAAATGGCCTGATTTTCAGTTTTTTTTTCCTGAAAATTTTACATTCAGCGTGTCAGTAGCCTGCGCATGTCCTATGTGTTTTTTAGGTATCAAAATTTTTGCTGGATTCCAGATTCTGGATTCCAAATATTTGGATTCCGGATTCCAGGATAGGGATTCCGGATTCCAAAGCTATTTTTTAATGGATTCGGATTCCGGATTCTCTTACACGGGGCGATTTTGCCAAAAAAAAAAAAAACAAAAACAAAAACAAAAAAAAAAACAACAGAGAAGCCCTGGGAACGAGGTTCACCTACATGCAAAACATGTGCAGACAAAGAAATATCAGCTAACAGTTATCTTGTTAATATCAGTTATCAGCTAAATAAACCCGAAATTCTCAGTTAACAGTTAATATTTTAGCCGTTTCTCAGTTAACAGTTAACCCCATTCAGACCCTGTTATTAGACAGGTTTTTTCCCCTATATTTCCCTAGAATTTTCGTAGTAAAGTCATATGCAATTAAACAAAGATTATTATTATTTTTCTAGTCATTTACAGCACTACAAACTCATATCATC